TGTGCAAACTCATATTGTTCAAGAGTCAACTGTAGTATACTTTTTTCAAAAGTGGTAGTGAAACCCTACCTCCTTATTCCTCATCACCATTGCCATCCACTCGCTGTCTACTGCAAAAGTCTTAGCCTACTGCTCTTGATCCAACTAATCATCTACCACTGTTTCAACATAGTTTTTCTGCTCCAGTTACCATTCAGGTAAAGATCTTCAAACAGCCTCCTCAGACCAGAATCATGGGCTGAGTTCTCTCTGAATCCCTGCTTCAGTAAAAATGCTTTCTCTGATCCAGAATTTTGAGAAGTTATACTTTTATTTTCACTTGGCTCAAAATACCTTTTTAAATTTCTTTTGACATTGCTTTGACTGATGTGTTATTTAAAACCATATTTTCATCTCCAAATATTTGGGGATTTTCATCTGTCTGTTAGCTTCTGGTTTCTCTTTCTGGTTGTGATCCGAAAGAGTACTTTGTGTGATCTATATTCTTTTAAAATTGTCATGATATATTTTGTAGCTCAGAGTGTGGTCTGTTCTGATGAAAAGAATGAGCTGGAAAAGAATGGGTAGTCTTCCGTTATTCAAGGAAGTATCCCATAAATGTCAATTATATGCCATGGATTGATGGCCCTGGTAAGTTTAAACACACTCACATTTGTGGATCTTCTTTTTAATTCATTTTATGATGCTCTGTTTTAAGTGGTGTATTTAGGCAGCACCTGGGTGGCTCAGTTGGTTGGGCGTCCAATTTTAGCTCAGGTCATGATTTCGTTGTTCATGGGTCCGAGCCCCGTGTTGGGCTCTGTGCTGACAACTCAGAGCCTGGAGCTACTTCGGATTCTGTGTCTCTCTATATATATGTTCCTCCCCTGCTCATGCTCTGTGTCTCTCTCTCTCAAAAATAAATACAGATTTAAAAAATTGTTTTAATGAGAAAATACATTTTATTTTACATCCTTTATTTCTCTCTAACAATCTTCCTTTCTTTATGTAGCTCTAAGTTCTGATGCATATCGCCCTTCTTTTCTCCAAAGAACTTATTTCACTATTTCTTGCAAGACAGGCCCACAGGTAACACATTCCCTCAGATTTTGTTCATCTGTAAGAGTCTTTACTTCCTCTTCACTCTTTAAAAATACTTAACATTTTTTTTCTAAATCTTTATTTATTTTTGAGACAGTCAGAGAGAGAGAGAGAGAGAGAAGCGGAGGAACAGGGAGAGAGGGAGACACAGAATCTGAAGCAGCTCCAGGCCCTGAGCTGTCAGCACAGAGCCCGATGTGGGGCTTGAACCCACGAACCCTGAGATCATGAGTGGAGCCGAAGTCAGATGCTTAACTGAATGAGCCCCCAGGTGCCTCTAAAAAGACTTTTTTTTTTTTTTTTAATTTATTTCTGAGAGAGAGAGAGAAGGAGAGTAAGCAGGGGAGGGTCAGAGAGAGAGATACACAGAATCTGAAACAGGCTCCAGGCTCTGAGCTGGCAGTCAGCACAGAGCCCGACATGGGGCTCAAACCCACGAACTGTGAGATCATGACCTGAGCTGAAGTCAGACACTCAACCAACTGAGCCACCCAGGTGCCCCTAAAAAGACTTTTTAAAAGCGGGTTTAGGTTTACAACAAAACTGCGAGGTAGGTCTCAAGCCGCCGCACGCCGCCTGCCCCAGGAACCCTGTGTGCCCTTGCCTGTCCTCTCCACGTTTACTTCTCCAGAATGCCCGCTCCTAGGGGTCGTTCAGATGTGGACCCCCGATGGGCTTCTTTTCCTCAGTCATTTGGAGGTCAGCTTCCCCTGGGGTCTTTCCCTGGCCTGGTAGCTCACTTTTAGTGCTGGGTCATATTCCTTTGTCTCCAAAGGATGCACCCAAGTTTCTCCTTCACTTTTGAGAGATGATCTTGTGGGATAAAAATTCTCAGCTGGCACCTCCTTCCCATCAAAATTTTAATCATCTCCTTCCACCCTTCGGGCTCTCGCACGGTTTCTGAAGAGAAGTCTGACAGGCCTCTTGTCCTGGGTCCTCCATAGGTAAGGTTTTCTTTCCTCTCTGGCTTTTTTTGAGGTTTTTCTATGTGCTCAGGTTTTGTGCACACTGAAGGCTCTGACAGGTGATTTGGGGGGATGCATCGTACTCGGTGTTCTCTGAACATCCTAGATCGTGTTTCGGGAGCTGTTATTGCTTTTGGAAGATTCCCAGACATCATCACTTCAAGACTTCTTCCTCTTCCTCCGCTTTTCTCCGTCTGGTGTTCGCGCTGTGTGACTGTCCCACATTCTGTGGTTGTCCCGCGGTGCTTGGACAGTCAAGTGTGGGGGTTTCCTTCGTCTTTCTGTCTTCTTGCATGTCGGTCTGGGGAGTTTCTATCTGACTAACCTTCAAGCCGATTGTTTCTTTGGCCTTTCTGACTCTCGTAATGAGTCCATCAAAGGCATTTTCCATTTCTTTTACAGTAATTTTGATTCCTCATATTTCCTTCTGATTTCCTCTTAACGCGCCCATCTGTCTGCTTCCATTCCCCATCTGTTCCTGCCTGTGCCTCCTGCCTTCCCTTAGACCTCTTAGCATATTCCTCACAGCTGTCCTGTGTCCCCGATCTTACCATTTCAACATCTCCCCCATGTTTGAGTTTGCTGTGATGCTTGCTTTGCATCTTTACTCGTGTGTCTCCCCGTCTCTTCTCATGCCTTCTGAGTTCTCGCTGAAGGCAGTAGGTGCGGTACACGGTAACGGGGGCCGAGGTTTTCACCTAGGAAGCAGCGGTAGGATTCGCTTCACGTTTGCTGTAGCTGTGGGTATGAGAGGCTTCTATTTCCTCTGGGTTTGTCCCCTTGGTCTCCCCGGCTGTCTGTGGGTTTCCCTAGACACTCCACCTTACGTGGGCTCCGTGTCCTGTGCTCTGTCTGTTGGAAGCCACCGTTAGGATGCGAGGGGTCTGCTGGGGTGGCGGTGAGATGTCGGAGAGAAGGAGAGTTCTAAAACCTTATCAATAAATCTCTTGTTTGCGTAGCCACCTTGAGTCCCTCAGCTGTGTCTTTTAGAGAGTTTTTCAGCCTTTTCTGTCCCCCCTTATGCGAGCTAGGAAGGCTGGGGGGGCCTCGAGCCAGCCATTGCCCAGGTCAGGGAGGGTTTCGGCAGATCCCTCCTGAGGACAAGCTCCCGCCGCGGAGAGCAGAGCGCCCCGGACGGAGTGCACCAGGGAGTTCACTTTCTGCTTCCCTTTCCAGGAGCACGGAGGGATTCCTGCGCCCTCTTTGCCATCGGGACTTGTCACGCTCGTGAAAGTCGGGGGCCTCTAGCAATGTTTAACGTCCAAGCCATTTCACAGGCAGCCTCCCCTAATTTGTCGATTGCCATTTAGATGTTCCTACTGGCGGCTTCCGTCTCAGGGCAGCGTCTGCTGTTCAGGTTTGCAGCGCACTTTGTTACTAGTTGATCTAAGAAGAATTATTGTTTTTCAATTGTTGATCCTATTTCTTCGTGTGAGAATGACAGTGATGACTCCCAGCTCATGCTGGAGCAGGAAGAGGGGGCAGATTCTAGACAATTGCGCTGCCTGATGCTCTAAGGCCAATGTATGGCGAAGCTGTAAATGCACTGATTGTACATATAAGTAAACTTCAAGTAACAGATTCTTAAATAAATACCTACTATATATATTTCTCCTCTGGCCCATGCTGTGTTGCATAAAGCACGTTGGGTGTTCAACCTTCATCATACTCTATTATTCCTTTCATTACTGCAGAGGACAGAATGCCAAAAATGCCATATTTCAGGCATCCTTACAGCTAAGGTGTTGCGTGCGGTTTCTATTCGACCAATAAGATGCCTTTTTTCAGGTCTGGGAGTAGAAAGTGAGTCCACATATCTACAGATTCGCCGTTTCTGCAATAAGTTTGGGCTTGGAAACATCTGGCTTGTGTGTGTGTGTGTGCGTGCGTGCGCGTGCGCGCATGCATACTTTCTGCTGTTAAGAGTAAATGAGTGCCAGTATCACTTACTTTGCAGATGTCAAGGCCCAGGAAACGTCTTCTGCAGGGCAGACCGTGCTGGTGCCAGCTGTGATGTCAGAGGTCGGGAACCGCGTGGTGCTGATCACCATGAACCATGGGGTTACAGAGCCAGGGTCTTCCGGATTACGGAGAAGGTGTAGCCTTGCCCCGGGGGCCGGATTCCATAGTGTGTGTGGTGCAAGGAATTCTGGATGCCCGGGCTATAGCAGTGGTACTCAGCCTGGCTGCACCCAATAGCCACCTACATAGACGGGCTGTAAAATTATGACCACCTGCATGCCAGGTAGTTATTTTGTCATCTCAGGGAGTGAATTCAGGACACGGATTTGTGAAAAACCCCCCACGGGCTTCCCACGCCGAGACGGCGTTGAGAATGTCTCATCTGGAGCCTGTCTCTCCAGCTCTCCCAGCACACATTCCAACCAGTTACTACTCTGCACTCAGCATCTCCTTGCTGAAAGGGGCTGGGCAGACCCCGCTGCCTGCGCCTGAACTTGGACGGATACACAGTGTCTCCGTGTTTGGCAGCCTTCCTGTTTTGGTCCGACGAGTGAGGAACACATGAGGTGTGTCAGCGACGGCGTTACCGGAGAGAGCTAGCTCGCTCGCCTTCTAGCTGGCATGAGTCAAGGGCACGGCGTGTTCAAGGGTCATTACCACTGTGTTCACCGCAGCTGTACTCTGCTGTGGCATAAGGGTGGCCCACAAAGTGCTACTAAATAGCGATGTTTTCAGTGCACACACACTGTTCCCAGCACAAGCACAAGTAATTAAATCTCGCCATCAGCCACAGTGAAGAATGGCCTCACCGACTCTGTTTTGTTCCTCCACGGGACTTTCCGAGGCCTGCCTTCCTTCAGGGTTTGCCGATCTCTCCACTCAGGCTCCAGCTAATCATGATCTGTTGGCCCTCAAGACATTGAGGGAACATTTCGAAATACAGTGAAGTCATAAAGGACTGGCTCTACTTAATAGAATGTCATACCTTGGCGAGCCAAAGAAGGGAACTGTTGTGTGTGATTTAGGGTGAGGAGAATAATGCTTCTGATTCCTTCCCAGAGTATGTTTTGACCAGAGCTGCTTACTCCAGGGAATGATAAATTGTCATCAATTGACCCTAGCGATCCCTAGAACAATAAGTATCAGTGGCTCTTATCACAGGCCCAGTGGAGGGGGGGTTGGGATATGTGACGTGAGTTTTCCAAAACTCTGTACGTAGAATGTGACCCTTTCGTATCATTCACAGCAGAAAGGAACCTACCCACCTGTCACCCGACTACATTTCCAGTGTCGATTCTGGACTTTATCTCACTCCAGTCATAATGAAAAAGGTAATGACTCACAGTTGCCCTGTTACCCCTTTGTGTCGCCCTTGCACGGTACAAAGGATCATAGCCTTTGCAGTACTTTTCCCTGCGTGACCACCCGGGACGTTCCGTGTGGTTCAAGTTGCAGCTCAGGTGTTACCGACATGGCTTGGCTCCAGGATTTTTATCTGTAGTGATGGCGGCTCCAAGTTGGGAGGTGGGGGTGGGGCTGGATACGGGCACGGGGAGGAAATAAGGACGGGGTCAGTGGAGATGCCAGGTGGCTGCGTCGCCCAGAAGCCTTCTCTCACTCCTCCAGGCTAAAGTCGTTCTGTCCTTGAAGCCAACATAATTCTTCACACCTGTATAATTACAGTAAAAAAATTTTGCATGATTTTTATTATTTGTGTATAGAAATACCTCCCATGCTAGGAAGGGAATCGTACACTGTCATTTTTGTAGCCCTGGCACTGTTTCTAATACAGATTTTTTTTTAAATATTTTATTTATTTTTGAGAGAGAGACAGACAGAGTGTGAGCAGGGGAGGGGCAGAGAGAGAGGGAGACAGAATCCGAAGCAGCTCTAGGCTCCAAAATGTCAGCACAGAGCCCGACGTGGGGCTCAAACCCACGAATCATGAGATCATGATCTGAGCCAAAGTCAGGCACTGAACCAACTGAGCCATAAATTTGAGAATATTTAATTTAACTGAGAAGTTAATATTTTTTGAGACAGAGAGAGGCTCTATGTTCATTAAGGGGCTTACTGCCTTCTGGGGAGGGTAGATAGTGGGACAGACAAGGAGCCGCGGGGGTAGGGTCTGCAGGTGCCGTTCACCTTGGGGGCAGAAGCCACAGTCCGCGCGATCCTCTGCCTGGACAGCTGGCTCCTGGATGTGCTCCGTCTCCCAGGGCAGGTTCACTCTGACATGGCTCTCAAGGGCAGATGAGAGAACCAGAAAGGACATTCCCCTCCAGTGGGGACTGCCCTTGTCCACAGATGCCGTGTGGAAAATACACTTCCAAAGTCTCTCTAGGTGATGCTGTTCTGAAGCCCTGTATCCCACGGACAGGTGGACCAGCTTGGTGGGGCTTCGTGTTTTGGGTGGGGTTTGCCTGCCCAAGACTCCTGGCTCTAGTGACTGTCTAGCATGTCAGGAACCATGTCCAGCTACGCAGAGCGGCATGAGCAAGGGCTGTCCAGATTCCTACAGAAGGGTCATGAACGTTATGGAATGACCTTGGACCTCATAACATGCAAGAACAGGGCTGTCTTGCCATCCTCCGCCATCCCCGCTGCACAATAACTCGTCTTCCTCATCTTCTGTAAACCGGCCCCACAGAGCTCCCAGAGACAAGAGACCGGATGGTTAGCGTGAGGCCGGACCCGGGTCTGGGAGAAGGTTGGTCTTTCAGCTGTGGCCCTTGGGCCCAGTCCTTGAAGGGCTACTGACCTGTGCCCTGCCCCTGAAGCTCACACACCTCCCCACCCTCCTGTGCAGTTAAGACACCCCTGTATCAGCCTTGACCCTAGAAAACAGCTTTCTCTTAGTGGCGCTCAGCCCTTTGAGATTGTTCACTTCTTTGTGGACCTTCTGAGCAGCCTGAATGCCAGACACCTGACAGCTTTGGGCACAACATATGGTCACGTCAGTGTATTGTCCAGAGCTGTGCCTGGCACAGAGGTGACAGATGACAAATATATGTCATTTGGATGAATATTTGCATGGGTATACAAAGAGATTCCTTCTTTTCGAGATATTATAGCCATACCCTTGGCTTTTCCAAGGTGTGAGTCTTCCACCTGGGGACCCTCGGCCACTCCTCTTCCTTCACAGCTGATTTCTGCAGCCCCTAAGAGACCCTGTTCTTTAGAGGGTGACTTCATAGTCCCTCTGTTCTTCAGCACAGTCTCTTCGCCCACTTTCCTTCACATATATCCACCCACAGAGAGATCCTAAAATATCAGAAGAGTTACATGTCCCTTCCTTTCAAACTTAAAACACATGTCGTCCGTGACAACGTGGTAAGTTCACACTTGGATGGGTGCCCCCGCATCACTAGCGATCGGCCCGGAAAGGCTCGGAACGCTCTCCTCTGCTTTATATTCCTGCAAAGAACCAAGCAAAAGCAAACACGAAAATCAGAACTTTTCTCTTTCTAGAACTGTGTTTTGTTGTTTCTGGATTCAAGATAGCAATGGCTTTTTCCTTTTTTTTTTAATGTTTAGTTATTTTCAAGAAAGAGAAAGACAGAGTGTGAGCAAGGGAGGGTCAGAGAGAGAGGGAGACACAGAATCTGAAGCAGGCTCCAGGCTCTGAGCTGGCTGTCAGCACAGAGCCCGATGTGGGGCTCAAACCCACGAACTGTGAGATCATGACCTGAGCCAAAGTCGGATGCCTAACCGACTGAGCCACCCAGGCACCCCAAGAAATTGTTTTTTTCAAAATACTATTTATTAATCTGTAGTTCAAGCCTTTATGTTCCTGCATGTGATTCTCAGAACAAAACAATAGTGTAATGTATTATCTATTTTTGGCAGGAAGGAAATTGTAGCTCACAGAAATGAAATAATTACCCCAAATCAGGGAACAGATGACAGGGGATTTGAAACCAAGCCCGTCCGAATCTCTGCCACACTAACCCTGGGCCACATACTCGAACCACAGGGAACCGTATTCTGGCCTCCAGTACTTGGGTTTCTGTGGTAATGGGTATTCACATGAACAACACTTAACAAATCCAAGCATATGGGTCTCCTACCCCATCCCTACATCCAAAGCTGGAAGGAGTTTATTGCTTTTGCCCTCTTAGTCTATTGCTTTCCTGTTTTTAATTTCATTGATATCCAACCTAACCTTAAAAATAGATTTTCCGGGCAGCTGGGTGGCTCAGTCGATTAAGCCTTCAACTCTTGATTTCGGCTCAGGTCATGATCTCAGAGTTCATGAGTTCAAGCACTGCATCCGTGCAGAGCATGCTTGGGATTCTTTCTCCCTCTTTCTCTCAAAAATTGACATTTAAAAAAATTGATTTTCTCTTCCTTGCTTTGGCTTAAATTGCTCTTTTTTTCTGTAGTTTATTTAGGTGACATCTCAGGCTATGGATTTCATGTCTTTCTTTTTTCCTAATGCTTGTGAGCTGTGCTCTGTGCTGCCCTTGGAAAGCTGTCTTCATGGCTCCCACACATTTTGACAAATTCTATTGTTATTTTCATCTAGTTCAAAATATGCTTAAATTTTTTTAGAGACTTCTTTGACCCACCTTTTATTTAGAAGTAGGGTTTTAACCTCCGGTTATTTTAGCTAGTTTCTGATTTTAATTGCGGTTTAATTCCTCTATGTTCCAAGAACATAATTTCTATGCTTTCAGGCATGTTGAGACGGGGTTTTATGGCCAGAAGGCGGTCCACAGCTATGGTTCGTGTTCCACGTGAACCTGAGAAGAATGCGTGTCCCACCTCGGTTGGGTGGACCATTTGGTCAACGAGATCACGTTAGTGACAGCGGCGTTCTGGTCACCTGGATCCTCACCAATGCTCTGCCAGCTTCATGCCTCCCTTAACAACAAGGGATATTTACAACCTCGACTCTGAGAGTGGATTTGCCCTTATCTCCTTCAATTCTGTCTGGGCTTGCCTTATGCATGCTGCTATTCTCTTGTTAGGCTCCTAAAAAATCATAACTTGTATGTTTTGTTTTTTTTTTTTTTTTGGAGAATCGACTCTTGATAATCTTCCTTGTTCTGAAAGTTTGCTTTACCTGAGTCAAGATCGTCACTCCCGTTCTTTCTCTGCCTCCGCCCCTTTACATTGAAAACGGAGTCTAGATATTTAAAGTTGGTGCCTTGCAGAAAACACAGTTGGGCCTTGTTTTCTTGGTTTGTTGATTTTGCTGTTGTTGTCTTGTTTCTAGTCCACTCAGCCAACCTGTGTCTCTTGATGGTGTATTTACACCATTAACATCGAAAGTGACACCTGGCGTACTTGGGTTAATGTTCACCGTTGCTGGAATTATCTCCTATTTGCTGTACTTACTTTTTGTTTCTCCCTGGATCTGCCTTTTCTGACTCTAACAGAGATTTCATAGGATTCCACCCCCACCCCCGCTTACTATACCAAATATACTTCTGTAAAATTAATATTAATGGTTTTGCCTCAGAACATAGGAAATTGCATTTTTAAGTAATTTAAATCACCTTCAAATAACACTACACCGCTACACATGCATGAGGTACCTCGTGAAGGACCCACTCACTCCTCGTCTCCAGTGGCCTATGTCACTCATCTCTGTGCTGTCACCACCTAATACATTGCTACTGTGGGGACTTTAACCAAACGACTTCGTTTCAGATCAATTAATCAAGGTAAATGAAACATCATATTTGGCCTTCATTTATTCATGCTCTGATGCCTGCCTTTACAGAGAGCTGAGTTTCCGAACTAGATTATTTTCCTTCTGTCTGAATTTCTTGAAAAAAGAGGTTAAATTCATTGAAGTTCCTAAATTATTGTTTGTCTGAGAAAGTCTTTATTTCTCCTTCATGTTGGAAGGGAAATTTGGGAGGACATAGAATTGTACGTTGGTGACATTTTAAGATTTTGAATATTTCATTCTACTCTCTCATTTGCATGGTTTCTGATGAAAAGCATGATGTAATTATTTTCCTTTCTTCTCTACAAGTTAAGCTTTCTTTTTTCCATCTGGCTTTCTTCGACTCTTGCTGTTTATATCTGATTCTGTGCAATTGGAGTGGGATGGACCTACGTATAAACTTTAAATAAATATTTAACATATATATCTCCGTATATATGTATTTGCTTATTTGTATAAATATATTTTTATTCACCTACTCTGCTCAGTGCTCTTGGAACTTGCTGGATCTGTGTTGTGATGCCTGTCTTTAATTTTGGGAAGTTGCTGTCCATATTACTTCAAATACGTTTATTTTTTTCTTTCCTGCTCTGTTCTCTCCTTGTTTCTGGAACTGAAATTATATTATAACTTTAGAATTTTTTTTATCAT